ATAGTTATTAGCCTGTTTCCCTTTCAAGGCTTGTTGCGTTTGTGCATCATCAATATAATTATACTTAATAAATATTCTAAACACTATTTTTTGTGTTTTTTATAAGAAGTTGCGAATTCAAGAATACGTTTGCACAGTTCTGATGAGCTTTTACGGGTATACAGCTTTATCAGAATGGATGCGGATATACCACTGTTACCATCACAGCCTGTAGAAGAATTCGTTATACCTGACGGTTCACTTGTTGGTCCAGGAGATGGAGTGGAAATCGTACCATCAAGTGAATTTGTCACACCGCTGTCGCCCACGAAGCGGTTTGGGTAAGTCAGTTCCTGCTTACTTGGACTCTACGTTTCACTCGATTTGAGCTGTAGAAGTTCCCACGTATCATACACTGAAATTAGCTTTTCTGAGTCAGAAGAAATCACATTCGTGTGCGTCCCAGCTTCTTTCCCGTCCCTATCTGCTCAACTTTTTTCGAATAGAATTGCCGAATTCACTTTACTTCTCACATCATATATTGAATTTTTTCATTCGACACTTCACAAATATTTACATCAGTAGCTTTGACGGCGAAAAAGCCCAAAAAGCTCGAAAGCGCCGGAATCCGTTTCGCGCGCAAGTAAGAAGTACGTGTTATGCTTCAGTTTTGTCGTCTACACACCGAAATAATGTCAGAATTCTGCCAATTGCAAGCTGGATGAAACAACAGAGCTTTTTTTTTCTGCAACTGTATTTTCTAGGAATCTGCAAAGTATAGCTTCTCATGCAGTCCAATCATTGCTTCTTTTATTGTTCATGATTATCGGATTCGTCCTGAGCTCCTTGTCTAGTTCAAACTTTTCTTTCCTCTAGGAAATGATGCCGAGGGCTTCATGGCTGCGCACTCCTATCCATCCGACTTAGAACTTTTGGTGAAATGCTGCATAGTTTTGATGTGCAGACGACAGAAAATGAAGCAAAATATGTACTTTCAACTTACCTTCTGGCGCTTTTGGGCTTTGTTGGGCCTTTTCGCGCTTTTTTGGGCTGTTTTCGGCGAAGTATGACGAGTCCCAAAAGGTCTTTTTCAATAAGATTTGCTCATCTTGCATTCGTTAATTTATATATAAGTTT